CTCTAGCTCTTGACCTTGTGATCCGCCAGCCTTGGCCTCCCAAAGTGCTGGGATTACAGGCACGCGCCACCACATCCAGCTAATTTTGTATTTTTAGCAGAGACAGGGTTTCATCACGTTGGTCAGGCTGGTCTCGAACTCCTGACCTCAGGTGATCCACCTGCCTCAGCCTCCCAAAGTGCTGGGATTATGGGCATGAGGCACCAAGCCTGACTGATAGGGCTTTTAAAGAGATAATTAAAGTAAAATGTGGTCGTATGGGTGGGCCCTAATCCAGTAAGACTGGTTTCCTTATAAGAATAAAAAATTAGGATACAAACATGTGTGCACACACAGAGGAAAGACAGGACACAGGGAGAAGGCTGCCATGTGCAAGCCAAGGAAAGAGGTCTCTGAAAAACAAACCTGCTGACACCTTGATCTTGAACTTCCAGCGCCAGGATGGTGAGAAGTTTCTGTGGCTTAAGACTCTCAGTCTGTGGTAATTCGTTATAGCAGCCCTAGCAAACTAACACGCCTACCTCCTTCACACACAAACATTTCTAACCTTTCCCTCCATCCATGGTCAAGTACTTATGGATGCCAAGTTTGCTAAAACTTCTTATTATCTGACTGAGGCCCAGAAAGACTCAATTGTTGTACTTTGAAACCCCAAGAAGGTAATTATATTACACACCCACTACTGAAATGAAACACATACTTACTTGGTTATTAAAGTCCATTTTTATATTATTCTATGGTTTCTATTTTCTTATGTGTCAACTCTTCCATTTTCGTGGGATGTCTTTCTTTATGTTGGACTTTCTCAGATAATTTATAATTTGTAATTATCATTTTAAATAATTTATATTCTTCATATTGGTCTTCTTTAAGACCAGTATGTTTTATAATTTTTGTCTCTGAGCTCACCTTCAATGGGAATTATCCTTCCAGTGCGATGGTGGAATTGTTCTTGCCAGTGCCCCAGATTGTGGAGACCTCCCCCTTGTTGCTTCTGCACAATTCTTAAGGGGTCACAAATTCTTAATTTTTTTTCTCCATTTCCACCTTTGGATTTTTGTATATCATGAGTGGCTAAAAGTTAGATCCCATATGTGGATCCAGCTTGTTCTCCACTTTCTTATGGGTAATTCTATTTCTAACCATGGCCTGGGACATTGTTTACTTCTGATCAACCTCTTCAAGCTTCCTGCTGTGTTCAAGTTGAGAGGCTTTGATTCTTATTTCCCCATCACCGTTATTTTAAAACAAACACCATAAGGAATGTATGCAATAGTCACTAAAGTACTCAGCTCGCCAAGGTAAATATAGAATTATCTAATTATCTATTCATTTGTGGCACCTGAACATATTCCTTTCTTGTTTTGAACCAAACTGCATATTTACATTACAAAAAATATATATCCAGCATTTCTGTATGTTCCAGAAAATTTATGTGATCTTGGGAAAGCTACTAACCCCTATAGATCTGGCTTCCTCATCCTAAGACTGTAGGGATGATTCAACACGCTAATCTTTGTAAAGCACTCAGGACAGTGCCTGGTTCCCAAGTGCTCAGTAGATGTTTTGATAAATATTTCTGTTTCTGTTCAGCTCTTTTTCTTGACCAGGCCTGGTCCATCATCTTTATATACTGAAATTTTACTTGTTCAAATGCCAAAACATTAAAAATTAAAACATTTAGATTCTTCTCCTCTTCCCATCCCTTAAAGCAAATTTAACATGAGGTATTTTATCATCTTAAGAGAAACAGTCTTATAATGAATTAAGCTCATTATATTAACTATTCAATTCCTGCCAATGCATAATTATGAAAATCCCTTTGAAACAATTGGCTTATGACTATTAAGCTCATTAATGATCTATCAAAACTATCAAGCATCACAAAAGCTCCTGGCCAAGGACACCCCAGGCCTTGAAAGAGATTTCTTTTTTTTTCCCTCCACCCCCTCCCTGAAAGGGATTTCTCAGTACCATCACAGAATATTTCTATAGCAGAACAGCCGACAGCCATTAAAAACAGTGAAGAACTTAAAAGTGTGCTAAATTGGAAAACCACCAAGTCAGTAATACAGAACACAACATACAGGTTGAGATCCTGCCTAAGTAAAACAGGATATAGGTAGGTGTGTGTGTGTGTGTGTGTGTGTGTGTGTGTGTGCACGTGCACATGCAAGGGACAGAGAGAGGCAGGGAGGGAGAGATTATGTATAGATGGAACTTTTCTGGAAGAACACTCATAAAACTGTTAACATAGGTTACATAAAATGTTTTCGAGCAAGAAAGTGACAAGATCAGATCTGTGTCAGCAGATTCACATAGATACTGAGTGGGATGGGGTGCTGAGGGCTGGAAGCAATTGGGAGAGACTGAAGCCAAGAGACCCATTTAAAGGACATTGCAATTGTCGGGTAGGAGTTGACAGGGGCCTATTCTGAGGCAGTGAGACGGAGCAGAGGACAAAAAAGGAAATTAGATTCACTTTAGAAAGCCACCCAATTGCAGCCCCAGGGCCTAGTGCATTACCTACCGGTACTAGCTGCTTAATAGGAAGGCAATGGTCTCCTGTGCGAAAGACTTATCATTTCCATTTGCAAAGCCATCCCACCGGGCACCTGAAGACAACAACCCCACTGACCCCTTCTTCTCACAAGTTCACAGCCTCAGACCTGGGCCTGGAAAGCTGGGGGGCGGGCAGGGAGACAGGTCCACAGGAAGGCGAGTCCAGGGCTCAGGCTTCCACCTGTGCCCCTTGCCGGACCTGCCCACCCAGGAGGTCCCTGCTCCACCCCACTATCCCACTCAAATCTGACCCTACACACACACACACACACACACACACACACACACACACACACACACATATCAGCTACCAACACTTACATTTAGGAATTGCTTAAAATATATTTTTTAACATGTGAAATAATGGAAGAGAGTGAGCAGAAGGATGAGGTTCTCATAAATGTCACATCTGACAATGGGTTGCAGGAAACGGCCGATGTTCTCAGAACACAGAGCACTCAGCGGATACCTCGCCAACCTCAGCATGCAGGAAGGCTCTGCTGGGAGGCCTTGGTGGCAGGTGATAGTGAGGGGAAAGAGGGAATTAATGCACTTATTCTTGTATCTCTTGAGACTAATGTGGGGTCTGGTTTATAGTGCCCTGCTCAAATTGTTGTTGAATGAATGAAGAAAAGAGTGGATGAATGGGTGGATGGATGGGTGGATGGCGGGTGGATAGAAGGGTGAATGAATGGATGAGTGGATGGGTGGGTGGATAGGTGGATGGATGGATGAATGGGTGGGTGGGTGGGTGGATGAGTAGATGGATGGGTGGATAAGCGGGTGGATGAATGGATGAGTAGATGGTTGGGTGGATGGAGGCATGGATGAACGGATGCATGGGTGGGTGGATGGGTGGATGGGTGGATGGATGGATGGATGGATGGGTAGATGGATGGATGGTGGATGGATGGATGGGTGGATGGATGGATGGTGAGTGGGTGGATGGATGGGTAGATAGATGGATGGGTGGATGAATGGGTAGATGGGTGGATGATGGATAGATGAATAGATGGATAGATGGGTGGATGTTGGACAAATGGATGGATGGTTGGGTAGATGGATGGATATACAGGTAGATGGATGGGTGGATGGGTGGATGGATGGGTGGTAGGTGGGTAGATGGATGGATGGATGGAGGCATGGGTGAGGGAATGAATGAGAGATTACTTCAGTCTGGCTTTCAGAGACAAAACTGAAATCCGTGTTTTGCAGCAATGAGATGGCTGTGGGAGCTTTCAAAGATGACCCTCAGGGATCCCCACCCCTGCTATCGTGCCCTGTATAATCCCCTACCTTTCAGTGTGGGCTGTGCCTGATGACTTCCTTCTAATGAGTAGAATATGCCAGAAGTGATGGAATGCCACATCTTTGAGTAGATTACAAAAGACTGTGACCTCCCTCTTCCCAGACTCTCTCTATGGCCCTCTCTGCTGAAGCAAACTGCCAGGGTTGAGAGGCCCACATGGCAAAGGACTGATAGCAGCCACAGCTGACGGCTGAGAGGGGCTGAGGCGTCCAACCCACAGCCCTAAGGAGCTGAATCCTGCCAACACCAGCAGCTTGGAAGTGGATCCTCCACAGTGGTGCCATGAGATGAGGCCTCGGCCCCTCCAACACTTGGAAGGTAATCCACGAGAAACCCTGAGCAGAGAACCCAGCCAAGCAGCGCCCAGACTTCTAGCCACAGAAACCGAGATGACAAATGGACGTTGTTTCAAGCCACACACTTTGAGTTAATTCGTTACCGGAACAGATAGCTAAAAGAAATACTGATTTGAGTTTTATGTAAAGATAAATGTAGCAATTAAACTTGCCAAATGATGGTAGTGGTTTTGATACTAGTTGGCTTGGGTTTGAATCTTGGATGCCCAACTTATTAGCTGTGGGGCTTTGAGCAAGATGATCCATTTCTTGAGCCTCTATTTCTGCATCTTTAAAATGGGCATAATTCTCTGCTCATAGTGACAACACAAGGATTACATAAAAAGATTATGCAATGTACTCAGCCCAGTGCCTTTCATATAGTAAGCGAATAATAACAACGGAGCAAGATCCCTTACAAAGCACGAGTGTTCCATGCCTGGAAGTGATCAAGTTGAGGCCAGATGGCCATGGCAGGAAGTGACTAGAACCCTGGAGGACCCCAAAGCCTTTCCCAAATCTCAGATCTGAGGGCTGTGCAGCTGGTCTGGCCAATGCCAGGGGTTGGTGGGCCAGGTGTGCCCCGGGACCCTCTTGGTGTGACGATCAGCATCGCCTTGCCCTGAGCAGGTGGGGGCTATTCCAGTCATGCCCAGCCTTGTCCTCGGATGGCCCTTCCCTCCTGCACCACTTCTGTGTCAGGTGTGTGGCTGCCACTGTGGCTCGGCCCATGACCCCCAGGAAGGTAAACACCCAGCCAGGTCGGAAGTGATTGCTATGGGCTGGTGGCCAGCTATGCGCAGAGGCAGGTCTGAAGGTCAGGAATGCTTCCCAGTGAGGCTTTTCCAGGAGAGGACAAAGTTTTTGGCCGTGGGCTCTCTGGGACAGAGTGAAGGGTCTGTGGATTTAGCCGGGGACACACCAGCCTGCTCTCAGGTGCCTGGACAGGACAGAGGACAAGAGAGGAACAGCTCTCTGAGGAAGCCCAATCTTTACAAGCTCATTGCTGGCAGGTGAGTGAATGGTTTTGCTCAATAAATAAAATGAGATAAAACTAGAGATGGAACAGAGGTTACTGCTGGGACAGGTAGGCGAGGAGATGGGCACCCATCCGTTCACTGAGGAGCATCCCCCAAGAGAAACAGCAGCCTGGGATTTCACCCGAGGGATCCCGCCTGGTCTCGGCTTCAGCACTGGCCCACCTGGCACTCACTGTCACCATCTGGGAATCAGGGGAAGGACTCCTTCCCGGGCCTGGCCATTATGGCTGTGGGGCACATGAGATCCAAAGCAGGAATGGCTGCATAATTGCAGGGCTCTGTGCAATATAAAAATGCAGGGCCCCTTGTGAAAATCGTAAGACTTTCAAAATGACAACAGCAGAGCATTAAAGCAAGCCAGGGGACTTTCTAAGAACGGGGACCTGTGACTGCACAGGCCCACACCCATGACCCCAGCCCTGATAACAAACGTAGATGTAAACGGAAGTGCCCAGGGCTCCAATCTCAGGATCAGGAAGTGACTTGGAAAACAGAAATCATAGCCGTGAAGTGACAGCCCACTGCGCTTTCGCCCCCCAGCACTGTCCCTCCTGTTCAGGGGCCCCTTTCAGAATGACAGAAGGCCCCACCCCTCAGAACCTTCCCGAGTGGTGCACCTGGCTGGCCTCAAGCCAAAACTCAGCGTGGTTCAGATGTGTGGGGACACAGTTTTCTTGAATGTGAAAGTGGTAGGTGATTATTTTCTATCCTGATTTAAAATTTGGGACAGTCACACAGTCTCTGGCTGCATGTAAGTGGGACCTGAGATTCCTGTGCTTGTGACAGCTCTGCTAGCTTAGCTACGTTCCACTGATCAGCAATGCAGTTCCGCGTTTCAGGAAAATCCCTAATGCAGTAAGGCCTCGGTGGGAATGCTCTGGTTGGGACACTTGCCATGTGTCTTTGTCCTCCCTGCCCCCCTCCCCTGTTCTCTCTCTGTCTCTTTCTCTCTCTCTCTCTCTGTCTCGCTCTCTCTCTGTCTCTCTTTCTCTCTGTCTCTCTCTATCTGTGTGTGTCTCTCTCTCTCTGTCCCTGTCTGTCTCTCTGTCTCTCTCTCTGTCTCGCTCTCTCTCTCTGTCTCTCTCTGTCTCTCTTTCTGTCTCACTCTGTGTCTCTCTCTCTCTGTCTGTCTCTGTCTGTCTCTCTGTCTCTCTCTCTCTCTGTCTCTCTCTCTCTCTCTCTCACCACTTAGGCTTCCCCTTTGCCCATCTCTGAGGCTGCCCCTTGGCACTGCTTAGCCTTGGGGAGGTAGAAGCCATTGTCCCCTTGGCGGCCAAGCTTTCTGGTCCATGAAGGGAGACCACAGACCACCTCCCTCCACTGCCTTCTCCTCCCACACCCCTTTCTGGAGCCCAAATTGTCACGGCAACCCCTCCCAGGGAGGGGCTCCCCACAGGAAAGCCAGGGGTTGATACCAATGACAGTGTGAGTAACATTCCACAGCTTTCTGTCCCAGTGGGACTGGGGACGCAGATGAGGCTAGAGACGGGGGACGATAAATTGCTTTAAGAAGAGATGAGCGTGGCGGTGCACACCTGTAGTCTCAGCCACTCAGGAGGCAGAGGCAGGAGGGCCGCTTGAACCCGGGAGTTCAAGACTGCAGTGAACTATGATCATCCCGCTGCACTCCAACCTGGGCCAACTGGCAAACTCTGTCTCTGTTTCTTTTCTTTTCTTTTTTATTCATTGCTTTAAGAACTTCCCTTGGCCTGTGGGAGACCCAAATCTTGCACCAGTAACAAAATAGCCCAGATGTGGGGCCACCCAGAGCCTCTCAGAGGAGACCAAATCTAACCACTCAGGCCTGCTGGCTCTACCAGGGACACAGGAGCTGCTGTTTGTCCCAAGAGGCTGGCGAGCCACCAGCACCAGGTCAGACATTCCGTCTCCCAAGATGATGTCCCTTCCCCATCTGCACGGGCCCATTCCCTCCCGGGTAAGGCGTCAGCTCTGATGCTCTGAAGTCACCCCTTAGCACGACCCCATGGCAAAAAATCCTTTATTCCTTCATAGATAATTACTGTGCACCGGGTATGCATGGGGCTTTGAAGTGGGCCTGGGGACACAGATGGGACAATGGTGGCCCTCAGGCTGGTGGAGAAGACAAAGCAATGATGGGTCCCACACCCCTGAGGCCAGGCCAGAAGCACCACTCCGTGAAAAGAGCATGACACCCCTGGCACCCCAACAACTGTGAGAGATTCCTGAGGCTGAGAGACGCTGCAGCCCAGCTGAGCAGGGGGCTCCATCTCAGCCTGAAGGAACCACCTCGTTTCAGAATCCCCTTCTCCCCACCCCTAAGCCCCCTCTGCCACCACAATGGCATCTTCTGGAGGCTGCTGGGCCTGAGGAGAAACTCCTTACCTTGGCCTGGAGCCACTTCTCCCCACCTTAAGAGAGGTCAGACCAGGGGGTGGAATTCTGCCTCCAGACTGGAGGACCTGCTCCAGGAGGCCGAGGGGTTCAGTCGCACTCCCACTCGCACTCCCACGAGCAACTCGCTATCATGTGAGCTCCCTGTGCTTGGCAGCCATCCTGGAAGCCAGCACCCTAGGAGACCACACAGGGTCTGAGCACTGAGGGGGGCCGTTTGCTCGGGCACCCTCATGGGCTGCTTCTGGGAAACTAGGTCGGGTGGTTGATTAAGGACCTGGAAGCCCGGGTGAGGCCATCTCTCAATCTTTCTGCCTCAACTCACTTTGCCTGTGGATGAGGAAAAACAACAATCACACATTCAAATGAGGAGGGTGGGCATCCTCAAAGGAATGGATGATCAGCGAGGCCTGCATGGAGGAGGAGGCCTCTGTGTTGGGCGTCATTCAACCATCTTCCATCGCTTATTAATGATTTTCCAGGAGTGGGAGAAGACTGAGGGGTATGGTTTGATGTATTATAAAGCAAGGCTCTCTAACCTGGAAAATAAGGAAGTCGTTTTCTTCATGCTTGCTCTAATTGAATGCTACAAATTCTTTAAATAGCACCTGTTCACTGATAGCACATTCCAGGTGAAGGGACAGCAGGGTTTTAGCAAGAACAAGGGAGCCCTGCAGGGAAGAGGCAGGCCCAGTGGAGGCAGGGACAGGGGAGATGCCGGCCGGATGCACTGGCTCACACCTGTAATCCCAGCACTTTGGGAGGCCGAGGCAGATGGATCACTTGAAGTCAGGAGTTCAAGACCAGCCTGGTCAACATAGTGAAATCCCATCTCTATTAAAAATACAAAAATTGGTGTGGGAATGGACCCCTGTGATCCCAGCTATTTGGGAGGCTGAGGCAGGAGAATTGCTTGAACCCAGGAGGTGGAGGTTGCAGTGAGCCAAGATCACTCCATTGCACGACAGGCTAGGTGACAAGAGTGAGACTCCATCTCAAAAATCATAATAATAATAAACAGAGACAGGACAAGTGGAGTGGAGGGGAGGTGGAGCAGAGGGAAGGTGGAGGGGTGGCCCAACCCAAAAAGCCAGGACCCCAGAGGTCCACAGAGATCGGGGTGGGGGCTGGATAGCCACTGCATGCCTCACAGTAAATTTGTCCCTCACTTCTGCACCCTGCACCTGCTGACTGTGCCTCCGCTGCCCTCACTTTGGGCTGGAGCTTCATGTACCAGCACCGTGTCTCCCACAGCTACAAGCTCTGACCGCCAATCATCCAGGAGTTTTTTTTTTTTTTTTTTTTTTCTGTAGAGATGGAGTCCCACCATCTTGCCCAGGCTCATCCCAAACTCCTAGGCTCCAGCAATCCTCCCACCTCGGCCTCCCAAAGTGCTGGTATTAGAAGTGTGAGCCACTGCACCCAGCCCCAAGTTGCTCAGGAGTTTAAAAATGGATATATGAACCGGGTGTGGTGGTGCGCCCTGAAGTCCCAGCTACTCTGGAGGCTGAGGCGGGAGGATCACAAGTTCATATCCAGCCTGGGCAAAACAGCAAGACCCCCATCTCCAAAAATAAACAAATAAATAAAAAGGAGATTTGGCTCAACATGGATAGAACTGGAGGCCATTATGTCAAATGAGATAAACCAAGCACAGAAAGACAAATATCTCGTGTTCTTACTCATACGTGGGAACTAAAAAAAAGGGAGGTGGGTTTCATGATGTCGAAGAGTAGATTGGTGGTTACTGGAGGCCAGGAAGTGAAGCAGGGATGAAGGAGTGAACGAGGATATAAAGATGCTTATTATCACTGAACTGCACACTTGAAAATGTTGAAGATGGGCCAGGCGCAGTGGCTCTCGCCTATAACCCCAGCATTTCGGGAGGCCGAGGCGGGTGGATCACGAGGTCAAGAGATCAAGACCATCCTGGCCAACATGGTGAAACCCCGTCTCTACTAGAAGTACAAAAAAGTCTCTACTAAAAGTCAGGTGTGGTGGTGCAGGCCTATTGTCCCAGCTACTCGGGAGGCTGAGGCAGGAAAATTGCTTGAAGCCAGAAAATGGAAGTTTCAGTGAGCCGGGATCGCGCCACTGCACTCCAGCCTGGCGATAGAGTGAGACTCTGTCTCAAAAAAAAATGATGAAGATGGGCTGGAGGTGGTGGCTCACATCTATAATCCCAGCATTTGGGAGGCCAAGGCGGGTGAATTACTTGAGGTCAGGAGTTGGAGACCAGCCTGGCCAACATGGCGAAACCCCTGCCTCTACTCAACATATAAAAATTAACTGGGTGTGGTGGCAGGTGCTTGTAATTCCAGCTACTCATGAGGCTGAGGCAGAAGAATCCTTTGAACCCGGAAGCCAGAGGTTGCAGTGAACTGAGATCGAACCACTGCACTCCAGTCTGGGTGACAGAGCAAGACTTCGTCTCAAAAAAAAAAGGTGAAGTTGATACCGTTCTTTAAAAAAAGAAAAAGGCAAAAGAAATATCTCTTGAGAAACTAAAAAGAAATGGAGATACCAATTCATTCATTTAATGAGTATGTTTCCTACCAGAGACAGATAATTCCAAATATAGGCTTTCCAAAGGACGAGTG